CCCTACTCTGTTAGTGTCATATCCTGGGCTATTTTGAGCAACTGGGTTAACTAGTTATTTACTAACTTCATCCACAGTATTAGAAAAACAAGGTATTAGATCAGTTTAGGTGAAATGTGTGGCTGGCAGCCAAACCCAGTCCCTTATATTCCATATTTTTTCTTTAGTTCTTCTACTTTGTCGACATAAGCTTTCATGGCATCTTCCCTGGAAGTCCCTGTAAGGCATCAACAAGATTATTTGTCACAGAGGCAGCATGGTAGAAAGGTAGCAGACTTTAGAGCCCTGGTTTAATGCTCTGAGGCTCAATTTCTCACCTGTGAAGGGGGTGGTGGTTCTCCTACCTACACCTCACAGACCTGGCCAGGATTTGACTTGAAGTCCTCGAGGAGCCTGATCCACAGGCAATGCTCCATAAAGCACTGAGCCCATGTGAGTCTCCCTACTGTCATGTCAAGCCTAACATGGGGAGCTGCAGTGACTATTGGTCCTGCTGACTTTCACAGTTGGCTTTGACCTATCACCTATTTCTCTGTCAGGCTCTTATCTCCCAGAGCTGTTAAGCTGCCAGGGAAAAAACAAAGCCAGGCACCCTCTACTCCCCAGAGAGAAGCTATGAGAAAAGTTCTGAGGACTCTGAGCACAGCAGCTGGCTCTCGGAGGGGAATATAGGGGACACTGGAGATACCCCTCAGAGACAGTGATGCCCAGAGTCCTGGATTCTACGGTGAAGGAGAGATATTCACTGAGAATCAGAGTGTGTTCTGGAGCAAGGGCAAGTACATGGGGCCTGGGAATGGTATGGAAATGCCCAATGAGAATGGACAGTCAGACGGGCATTCCTCTTCCAGTTACTTGCAAATCCTAGGAGTGTATTTTTTGTATTCTGGCCCCTTTTGAATTCAAGTGTTTCTCATTTGCAGGAAGACAGAGGGCTTATTCAGAAACAAGCTAGCGAGGGCACAAAAGCTGGCAGGCACTTTAGTGCCAACTTTTGGGTCTTACGGCTGCAGGTGGCACGTGATTAAGTCAGAGCTGGGATACTTCTTGCCTGCTGTTGCTTAGCGCATAATAGCTCCATTCACCAAGGCTACGATGTGCCAGCAGCTTGCCACGCATTAGTTCATTCCTTTTTTTTAGGTGCCTTTCTGGCTGGAAGGGAACCGGGGAGGGCTGCTTGGGCTAGAGGGTCACTGCCTGGCCTTGTGGGGGAGAGGGAGGTTTGGACAGGAAACCACCCCTTATTCTAAATACATATAAAGGCCAAGCCAACTCTTATCACCTCCCAGTCTGTTAGTGGCCTGGTCCCCAGCCCCTCCTCTCTCCAGATGATACCATGACTCAGAGATGGTGTTTTTGGAAAAGGCATAAATGGTATTAGAAGAATAAGTAGGCGGCCCAGTTTTTTTTCCATCCTGGCCCCGGTCAAACTGGTTCCCCAGCATGTGCCTCATCCACTGTGTTCTCTCTCCTCACCCCTTATACTCCTTAATGAAGAGTATTTCATTACTGGGCTTCCCAAATGAAGGAAACATATTAGAACAATTACCTTTCAGCTCATTCCACGCATCCCACTTGGCCTTGCCTTTGAGGTCCAACATTCCAGGCCGTTCTTAAACAAGAGAAGGAAAGACATGAGACCTGCTGCAAGTTCTAATAAGGAACTTTATCAATCTTCTTGCCATGAAAGCTATATTTTATTACACTATTCCTTCTAGGCTCTGCTATGGAGTTAAATGGGTCTAGTACGGTGGGTTCTGCCTTCAGAAACCCACATGTACAGAAATCCAAATTTAAAATCTAGAGAAAGTAGGAGGAAAACTGTTCTCATTACTAGAGAGTCCTTGTCTTATAAGTTAAATAACTCCAAAATTTCTTTTAAAAACCGTACTTTAATTTTTTTCTTTTTTTTTTTAAAACAAGTACTACAATCCATTCATCTGGTTTAAAATTCAAACACCACAAGGGGAATACTATAAAGTTTCCTCCCACTTTTCCCACCCAGTTTCTCTCCCACATTATTATCAGTTTTCTGGGTGTCCTTTTCTGTGAACTGTCTGTTCATATCCTTGCCCCATTCTGCTACCAAATTGTTAGTCTATTTCTTGTTGTTTTGTGGGAATTCTGTTCGTGAGGGCAAGATTCCTTTAAGTTATACCATGGGTTTACACATATAGACCTGTTATCAGTTGCACTTGGAAAACACACTTACTACTTCCCTGCTGACCTCGTTCACTGCCACACTGAGAAGAAAGCCAAGGGGAACGATCGCAGTGCCCATAGCCTGGACCACTGTGTCTGAGAAACATCAAGTCTCCCCCCAAGTGCTTGCCAGGAAGCATTCCCAGGGATACCTGAGCGAGACTGCGCCTGCAGGATCATCAACAGAATCCTAGAATTGCACATCCTAACAGCCCTTTCGTGATGATGGAAAGGTTGTACATTTGCATTGTCCAACTCAGGGGCCACCTGCCACTTATGGCAGCTGAGCACCTGGAATGTGGCTTGTGTGACTGGGGACTGGACTGTTGATTTTATTTAAGTATTTGCCATTTAAATTTAGATAGCTGCATGTGGCTAGTGGCTACCGTATTGGACAGTGCAGCCCTAGAGGGAGCTAATCAGGAAGTGATAAGATTCCCAAGCCAGTCTACCTATACTTATGTGAAAGCAGGGCAGAGGCCAGTCTCTGTGAAAACTGTGTTTGTCAGAAAAGCTTCTCAGCCATTCTGGTGACCCCCATTTCATCTCTCCTGCCTCCCTAGGAAGATGCAGAGTTTATAAACCCAGGGTAAAACTCACCTTCACCACAAGACCTTTCTGAACTAAGCCCGCCCTGTAATCTTTGATCTGGCACTGCCCAGGATCCTTAGCTGCCAGCCCACCAGCTCCACCTTCTACCCCAACTGCAGTGGAACTGGGGGCTACACTTGCCCTCCTGAACAGGGGCGGGGTGACCTCCTTCTACGCTACTATGGCCACCACCTCTGAATCCTTTCATAGACTGCATCGTGCTGTTGCCATATACTCCTGAGTTTCAGGAACTTATGGGCAGAATGAAAACTGTCCAAGGCAGAAAAGACAGGATTACAGAATATGGTTGTCCAAACCAAGGCCTCAAAATCCGTACCAAGATTTTTTGACAGGGGCCAAATGGTCATCTGGAACTGCTATCAGCAAAAACGCTTCCGACCTGCCGCAGGAAGCCAGCTGCTTCTCTGCTCCTGCCATCAGGCTTGGCCTAGCTGCCGAGTGCTCTGACTTTGATCCTGCCCATCTGGGGTGGAAGCAGTATGGTTCAACAGAACTACTACTGATCTGAGAGCTTGGAGCAAATTTCTCCCAAGCTGGGATCTTTGCTTCCTCCCAAATAGATGGAAAATGCTGGAATGAATAAAGTTCTTCCCAAACTAGGATTTGAATACTGCTATTTGAGCCACGAAGAAACCAAGAACAGTACAGGGTCTGTGAATCCCATCCAGGAACATGATCTCTGGGGAACCTCTCCCAGCTTAAACCTCAGGAATCCCATGAACTGCCTTAAGAGTAGGGCAGTAGGGCTGTGGGTGGTTTTGAGAGTGAGGTTCCCACCCAGGGATTAAGAGTTCCAGCACCAACCAAGGCTGCTGAGCCTGCTTTGATGAGTCTCGGCCCTCACTCATTTGATGAACCTCAGCATACCTATATTTATGTCACCCATAGTTGCTTGTTTGTAGTGGCTGTAGATGAACAGCATCTCATCGTCTGCTGGCTTGGTCTTGAGGTGCTTAACTTCCTCAGCAGCTTTCTCAAACTCAGCCTAAAGTCGAGGGAGAGAAGAGGCCTGAATAGAGCACAGTAGTGGGGATGGGGGGGCTGGAAAGGCAGCACTCGCTCTTGCAGTGCAGGTGAGGAAAAGCAGTCTTTCCTCAACTCAACAGCACGGCTAGAAAGATTCAGCAAAACCAGGAGGGGAAGCACATCGGTTCACTCATTTGATGAACAACTATGCATTGGGCTCTCTCACTATACTAGGTATCAGGTACTGGAAACAGAGGTGAAGGAGACAGCCTACGACTGCCTGCAGTGGGCATACACTTCACAGAAAAGGCAGCGTGGCCAACTCCCTGGCCAGAACAGGGTCCCAGGACAGCCCTGACTTGCGGATAGGGCTGGCACTGCGTGACTGAAATAGCTGAGAAAGGAATAGGGCATGAGCGCAGCGGTGTCAGCATCCAGAGCCCGCTGGCCCCCTCCCCCTGAGAGAGGGCATCCAGCGCCGACCTCTGACCCAGTGCCTGACTGGAGGGAGGGTAGAGGAGCCAAAGGTCGCCCCACACTGCTAGGTCCCTGAAAAGCGTCTACAGTCGAAGGAGGGAAAGACCTCTAGGTCACCCCTCCTCACGCCGGACACTCAGCCCCTACTTTCCCTGACCTCCAAGCTCTCAACCACAGACTCCTTGCTTCTCCACTCTGTATGGCGCCCCTACTCCTGCCGTGTCCTTCCGAATGGGGCACACGGTCCCCTTACTCTTTCGATCCATGTAACCCACTACATCCTATCTGTCTTCCTAGGACCCTCGCCTCCAACCCCAATTCCTGCTTCACTGCGAAGTCCTCCCCATGGGCACCTTGCCAGCAGTTGCGGGCTAAAAAGCGGTGTTGTGAGTCCAAACACGGAAAGTTCCGCTTACAGGGCTCTCTGTCCAAAGAGTGCGCTGGGCATGGGTCCAGGAAGAACAGCAGAGCCGGAAGTTAAAGACCTTGCAGGGTTGTGTCTGCGGGATGATCCCCGCGCCAGCCTCCCGCCCCGTGGCACCTTCGCAGCTAGGCTGGGCACACGTTATACCTGAGACATGCCGGCGGCGTTGCAACGATTCCAGGAAGCCCGCGAAGACGGCGAGGAGCAGTAAGCAGTCGCACAAGAGTCAACTGCCAGCGCCTTCAGAGGCGCAGCCGCAGGCCTCCCCTACGGCGCTCAGGAGAGCAAGAGGCAGCCAATCAGGAGCCAGCTGTACGCTGGGGGCGTGCCCAGCCTCGCTCACGGCCTGCCTCTCCGCAACGCAGGAGGGTTTGCTCGCGCATGCGCACCAGGGAGGAGACGCAGGGGACGCCGGGAGCAGGTGGGGACTGCGGAAGTAGGGCGCTTTCCACTGTGAGGGCGGTCAGGCCGGGGTGAGGATTTGGTTGCGGGCCACTGAAGGGGGTGACCTGCGAGGCAGAGGAGAGGGGGGGTGGAAGCTGAAGGGCGGAGGTTTTAAAATTTGTTTTATTAAATCTTGTGTCCGGCCGGAAGTTGCACCGTTGGACAAGTAACCTCTCGGGCTTGGGGAGGGCGAGGGTCCCACCCCTCTCAGGGGACCAGAAGAGGCCCTCTGGCGATGGTCCCTGGAGAATCTCGCGAGGGTTGGAAGCTGGACTGTGTTCCCGAAGGGCAAAACCGAGACCTCTTCCTTTGAATTTTTGGCACGTTCTGTGGCTTGCTGGTGGCCGTAGTTTGCAGTCCTGTTTTGTTTGTGTGCAGTAATCCATCTGGTGCGTCAAAGTCAGGGACAGTGTTTTATTTGTCTGGACTTAACAAACTTGGCCCGGACTAGGTGCTCAGCAGATATCTGTTAAGTAAATGACTCCTTCATTCATGAATGCGTACTGAATGGTCGGGTATCTTGCGCAGTTCTAGACCTTGGGAATACAGCAGTGAATAAAACAGATAAATCCTTGCATTCCTGGAACTTACATTGGGGCTAGTAGTGAATAACATCAGTTAAATAGTTTGCTAGGGGGATAGGGAGTTGGAAGTTTGCAGTTTTACATGGGGAGGGGGCGGGTGGAGGGTTAAGGGAAGGTAACATTTGAGAGAGCCCCTCAAGGACAGGAGGGAGCATTCCAGGCAGAAAGTTAGTGTAAATGTGTGAGCAGGGAGTGAGGGAAAGTTAGGAGATGAGGCTGGAGAGTTAAGGAGGTGGCAGGCTGGCTACATGATGCAGAACTTTGACTTTTATTCTGAGTGAAATGGGAAGTTAGAGGCTTCTGAGCAGAGAATGAGGAGACTGAGGGGGGCAGCTTTGCAAGGTTGTTACCGAGGCCGATGTTCTCCATGGGAGAACGGAACAGCACAGGTGGATGGGAGAGTTTGAGGGTGATGCCTAAGAGACCCAAAGGGAGAATTTTGTGGCAGCGGTTACAAAGGAGCTGGGTGCAAGGAGGGAATTGATGGAAAATAATTCTCTGGAGAGCTTTCAAAAAAGAGAGATCATTCCTCTCCAATTCCTAATTTGTAACGAGATGAGTGGAGTACAGATCCACGCCCCCAGCCCCCCTCTCCCCCGTGCCATTAGTTTATAGCTGACGTGTTTAGACTAAAGACAGTCTAGGTAGAAGCTTTCAGATATAAGTTCCTAACTTAATAGAGGTCAGGCTTTGTGAAAAGGGAAGAAGTGGAGATGCAATAGCAGGGAACACATCTAGTCTTCAAGTCTATGAATAATCTTGTTTGAGAAAGCAAAGCCAAACTAACAAAAATTTTGGAATTAACTTTGGGGAAATTACATTTGAATTGTAAGAGATGTGAGTGTCTTCCAAAATGACAGTTCAGAACTGTCTTCACTCCTAGGCTCAGATGGAGCTTGGATTCACTTTTGCTCCATCATCTGGTGCTTACAGCCTTCTTGATGGAAATTCAGATTATTCCCTGTGTGGGTCAGATTTGCAGTCAAATATATCTTCCAGTCAGTAGGTTTTAACACGAGGTTATTGTGTTTGGCACATCTGAAAAGGTTAGGTACCTCTGATAATGTAATTTTGTTTATATTCCTCCAAGGTTGGCTGGTGTGATTGAGTTCTGAATGGAGCTAAACATTGCAGAGAGCACGGCTAGTGTTTTAAATTAACTTGGCAGTCTCCAGTTTAAGTGGGGTTGATTTGTTGGTTCCTTTTTTTGGAAGATACTCCACTTTCCTTAAAAACCAACCTTGCACATGGTGGTTTTGTGCCCAGGTTAGTCTACAAAAGTTGCTTAAAGCAACTAAAGTATGGAACTAGTAGGGATTGTGGATCCCAGGGAGCAGGGTGCTATGTGATCTTGACAAGGAGGAGAAGAGTGTTTTTCCTTGTTAGAGGGCCCAGCCTAGGCCAAGTTTTGAAATAGCTGAAGGCATGCTTTTTGTCTTACTGCTTCCTTCCCTCACTTCTCAGTGACCTATTTTTTGTAACCTCCATCTGTGGAAATACTGCCTTATGCCCTGCATTACCATCTCTAGTCTAGGGATTTGAAATGCCATTCAACTTTTAGCATAGAGGGTAACAAGTCAGCAGCTGGGATTTAATTTTTAAAAGTAAATTTTAGAGTGTATTTGGGGCTAATAAATTGTATGAATTTTTTAATTCTATGTTTTGACAGTACTGGAAAGGAAATCGCTCTTCATATCCCGTGAAAAGACAAGTTCGTTGGCTCTGTTTATATCCTTTTAGCAACAATCACAGTTTGTAATTATTTTTTGTAATTATTTTCTTTACATTATATTTATTTTAGTTTACTCTTCTACTGTCTGAGCCCCCTTGCCTGCGTAAGCCAGGGAAGACAGGGATCACTGTATAAATCAACGCTCCGTCTCCAAGTGCCTGGCACTTGTTAGTCACTTAAATTTTGGGTGAATGAACAGAGTGCTTTCTTCTCTATGAAACACACTCCTTCTGATTAGCCATGAACTTAGAAACTAAGTTTATTAGAACTGAATGTGAAACTGTGGGTTAAAGTAGATGAACTCTTGTGCAAGGACCGTGTTACACCCCCGGCCTTGGAAACAGAACACCTGATATGTTAAGGGAAGATGGGAACCTGATGAGCCAGCTCGTTAGCCTGATCGACCGTCCTAGTTAGTGGAGAGGCCATTATCATTATTGCAGCTTGCCCTCACATCCTTGGGTTGCCAGTTTTGACTACTCACAGGCTTCACTTGCTGGGTCTCAGTGGAAAACCAGACGGGCAAGTTATATTAACAGGTGAAAGCAGTTCTTGCCGGGTAGGTGTGGATAATAGTTTAATATTTCTTGGTATAAACGAAACCTCTAATTTCTAAGAGTAACCTAACCATTAAAATGTGAAAATCAATAAAAAGCTTTACAGTAAAGCTTCAGTAGAAGGCAAGGGTTAGAGTATTCACAAATGATGGATTATATTCATTTAGTATTTGTTTTCCAGTTTCTTGGAATGTGACTCCTGAGGCATGGCTCCACCAAAGCTGGGAGGAGAACAGTGTGTTTTAAAGGGAAGGAGGTGTTATTGAACCCAACTGGGGTCTGCTCGCCCGATGGGCGGCAAAGCCAGTCTACTAACATGGGCTTGTGGTGAAGGAATGCACAGTGTTTACTGTACAGCAGGGCACCAAGCAAGGGAGTGGGAGAAGCCTCCTAGCCACTCCAACTTGATCTTTGAGTTAGGGGGATTTTTAAAAGGGGAAGAACAAAGAGGCTGGGATTAATCATTGTTTTGTGACATTTCTTAATTGTAGTTTCTAGTTTTGGGAGTCAAGATGTCTCTGGTTTACCATTCTCTGGCCAGGTGGTCCATGGCTTGGGGATCTGTTAGCTCATCTTGCCCTGGAGAACCAAGCTGAGTTTGTACGTTAATGATGATGTCTATAATAGCAATTTTAGTACGCTAAAGATGTTATCAACAACAGCAATTGTAGTCATCTGACTCTGGTTGATTAGTGCTTAGTTAGCACAGGTTTGGGGTCTGAGGGGACAAGAAAGGGAATAAAATTTGGGGTAAAGATATTAATCATAAACTTGGTAAGGGAACTCGGTTTTAGGGGGACTTGGGTTCAGAGGCACTTGCGAAATGCTTCTGGGACAGGAATGGAGAGAGCTGGGCAGAGTTGGGCGCCTTTGTTTTGTGAAGGGTGGGGAGGTGACAGCTGAGGGGATGGCGTAAAAACGTACCATAGCTTTTCTTTCCTTTCTTTCTTCTTTTTTTTTTTTTATTCCTTTTCCCCTCTTATGTGTCTTTTCCTTTTCTGATGATGTAACTGGTGAGGGGAGGCCTGGCAGCTGGAGGTCTCAACCAGCCCTTCCCCTTTGCCATTCTTTTCTTCCTTTGGGTGTTCGTATTCAGAGAAGTTGCAGCAAGTTGGGTGAGAGGAGAAGGGGTGTGTGTGTGGTTCTCACCTTTCCCCTCTCCTGATTTTGCCCAGCCAGCATGGCTCGGGGTCGGGGTTGGTTTGGGCTTAGTTGAGACATGGAGACCAGGGCTTGGATGGGGGTCAGGGTTCCTGGCGGAAAGTGTCCTACACTGGCCGGGAGTAAGGAAGGAAGGAAGGGAAGACTTTAGAGTTACTTATATGTAAGTTGGTCATGCAGTGGTCAAGTATTCTGTTTAGAAATACTTATGACTATGGGCAGGAATAATGAAGTGTTTTATGAAGTTATCTTGTGCTCAGTACTGTAGTTCTTGTTCAGCTTCATTAGAAGTATAAACTCTCTTCTAAATCTACATTGTCTTCCTCATCTTTGCCTATTAACCTAGCTCCTAGTTGCACATGACAAGCACTTGGTAAATGCTTTGGAACTAGGTTGTTAGAGATGATTTTTCTAGTGAGCTCTTTTATTGCCTGTCAACAAAAAAAATTAGAAATATTAAAATCTGATGAGAAATGATTTGGCTGATAATGCTTTTGGAGATAATGCCATTTTAAAAAACTTTGTTTTGAGATAATGCCATTAAAAAAAAAACCTTATTTTTATTTTGAGATAATTGTAGATTTATGTGCTCCCCAGCTCCCCCAGCATGAGGGATCTTAGTTCCCCGACCAGGGATCGAACCTGTGCCCTCTTCAGTGGAAGCACTGGACCGCCAGGGAAGTCCCTATGTGCTCTTATTGTTAAATAACACAGAGATCCTTTGTACGCTTTACCCATTTATCCCAGTGGTAATGGCTTGTACAACTATAGTACATGCCACAAACAGTACATTGACATTGATATGTTGAGGATACAGAACATTTCCATCATCATCCTTATGTTGCCCTGTGATAGCCACAGCTGCTTCCCTCCTGCCCCTCCCCCTCCCCTGCTCCTGGCAGCCAGGAATGTGTTCTCTCTATTGCTATAATTTGTCATTTCA